CAGAGTTTAAAAACATTAGACAGGGCTCTGAATATTACAGAGGTCATCTTCTCATCCTTTCCTACCCCCAATAATTAAGTGCCTTGTCTCTTCTGCAGAAGCAGAGCTGACAGCAGCCTTTCCTCTTGTCTGAGCTTTGCGGTTCTGTCACCAGCTGCTGTGCCCTATAGAGCCCAGCCCCTGCCTTGGAGGAACCATTCCCATCTATCCTAGGGGAGGACCTAGCACCTCCAGGCAACCACAGTCTCAGCTGTCCCCACACTGAAATCCAGAGCGGATGCGCCTGTGGTGGGAAGATCCAAGTGTCACAAGAGTGGAATGTGCAGCTTGGCCTGGATGGTTCCCCTACTGTTTATTTTGCGAAGACCTCTCAGGACTGTGGGGACCTGAGATCAGCAAGTACATGCAGAGGGCATGGGAGAGGACGAGGTGTTTCTAGGGAATCTATATAAAGGTGTCCTCCTGCAGGAGAGCTGCCAGGGAGGCCTGTAAGTAAGCAGTGCTCTGGAGGAAAAAGTCACTAGCAAGAATCACTCTCTAATCCAAGGGGCCCTAGCCATGGAAAACAGGTGCAAAGGAGGGGTTGGCGGAAAAGGCCAGTGATATCAGAACCCTGCATGCAGCAAGTGCAAGTGCCTGTGTGGGCTCATCATGTGCCCAGATCCTGGCATCCTGCATGGCCCAGGACATGTGCTTAAGCAGTGATTTCTGAATGGCTGAAGATGAATGGATGAATGACGTAACAGGAACTCGCTTCTAGGCACTTGGCTATCATATTGCATGTGTGATGGGATGTGATGGTATTTGTTTCTCTGTATCCATGTGTGTTCATCTACCTTCTTTCTTTCTTTTTTTTTTTTTTTTTTTCTGGTACTGGGAATTGAACTAAGGACCTTGTGCTTTCCAGGCAGGCACTTGGGCCACTGAGCTATATCCCCAGCCTTCATTTACTTTCTTTAATGTACTGAAACATGGAACAGGTTTTGGATCAAACATCAGGTTGAAGTCTTGGCTAGTCACTTCCTTGCTGAGCCCTTGAGGCGGTAACCTGACCTCTGTAAAGTGGTGCTGGACCTTCCTCCATAAACATGGCACAACCCTCAGCGGTACACCTGTGCGTAAGCAGGGTCACAGCTCATGGCTTTGACTAAGGTTCACGGTACTTCTTTCTTTATGGTCTACTAATTATACTGGGTGGTGATCATTTTTTATTACTTTGGGAAAACCATTTTAAAAACTGTCATCTAGGGGCTGGGGATTTAGCTCAGAGGCAAAAGCGCCTGCCTGGCAAGTGCAAGGTCGTGAGTTCGGTTCCCGGTACCGGAGAAAAACCAAAAAAAAAAAAAAAAAAAAAACTGTCATCTAATGTAATCAAAAAGAACACAGTAGATTCTAATAACATGCTTTATAACTCTTATTTTAAAACTATACTCTATTTGATTCATCCTGATAATAGTGTGAAAACAGGAAAAAGAAAAAAGGAAGCAGCATACTGTAATAATATTAGTAACTAGTGTTTAAGGGTAAAATAATCTGGAAGACTTAAAAAATGAAAAGTACATTTTGCTCCACCCAGTTGTGGCAGTTCACACTCGGACAGAGGGCTCTGGAGTCCTGCCAGTGTTTTAAAATTAGAGCTGAAGAAACAAGCCCAACTTAATTAGTATAAATGTCGCCATGTAACTTCTAATAATGAGTGTAATTTGCAATACATGCTCACTATGTAATTTAACACAGTCCTACGCAGAGCGTAGGATTCATATTTAATCAAGAGAAACAATTAATAGAGAAGAGGAAAAAGTCTAGATTGGAACCGCTGCAGGAATCCTGTGCTCTGTGGGATATTGCCGTCCTTATCACCATTCCCAACACCCCACCCCCTCCCACCCACGGCACCTTCCTGGTGCACAGAAGGGAAACTGTGTCATGTGCTTAGTTATATGACTCCAGCAAGGGACTCACCATCTCTGTGCCTCAATTTCCTTATCTATAAGATAGGAGAATAATAGTTCCAATCTCTTAATGCCATGGGGGTTAAATGAACCAGCAATACCAGGCACTTAGGAAATAACATTGTGCGTAACACTCAATAGATGTTGTTCATTATCATTCTTGTAAATATCATTATCCCTGAGAATCTTGGATACCAGGCTGAAGAGTGTGTCTTTCATCCTAGAGCACACATAGTACATGTTTGTATTAGCTTTTCATTACTATTGCAAAATATTGGAGGCAAGCTATTTTATAAAGAAAAGAGGTTTATTTTTTCCAGGCCTCTGGAGGTACAAGAGCCAAGCTGTGTGGAAAAGCTGCGGAGAGGGCACCCCCAGACTATGTGTCCCTGTCTGTGTGTCTCTTCTGCTCTCCTGATAAAGCCACCAGGATTCAGTCATGGAGGCTTCCACAGTGATCTAATGTAATCTAATCACTTTCCAAAGGCTTCATCTCTAAAAAGCACTGTTAAAAGTTTTCTCCTTCATAATACCATTAACTTATGACCTTGGGTGTCATCTCTTTCATGAGTTCCAAGGATGAATCATATTCAAACCATTGCAGTGTTGGTCCTTGGATGGTTTGCCTTTATTAAGGTACAGTTAACATAGCCTAAAATTAACCATTCTGAAGTAAAAAACTCAGAGGCATTCGGTACATTCATAATATTGTGCAACCATTACATTTACCTAGTTCTGACATAGCTGCATCTTTCCAAGGGGAAATCATGTATCCATCAAACAATCCCCTGATGTCCCAATCTTTGGCAACTACCAATCTGGTTTTTTTTTTGTCTCTGTAGATGTACATATTCTGGATATTTTATATAAGTGAAATTATACACTATAGGACCTTTTGTCTGGCTTCTTTTTTATTCAATGTGTTTTTGTAGTTCATGTGTGAAGCAGCAGGTATCAATACTTCATTCCTTTCAGGTTGCAAAATATCTCATTGCATCGATGTGTCAGTCTGTTTATCCATTTATTAGCAGATGACATTTAGGTTGTTTCTGCTCTCTGCTATTGTGAGTAGTGTTTCCATGAATAATCACGTGCAAGCTTTTGTTTTAACTCCTGTTTTCAGTTCTTTGGGGTATATACCTAGGAGTAAAGTTTATGCATTATGTTTAAATTGTCAGGAACCATCAAATTTTTCCACAGTGGCTGCACCATTTCAGTAGTCACCAGCATTATACAAGGGTTCCAATTCTTCCACATCCTGCCAAAACTTGTTTTCCTTCCCCTCGTCCCCAAATGATGGTGATACTAGTAGGTGTAAAGCTTATGTCCTTTTGATTTTGTTTCACACCTCCCCAGTGATTAGTGATGGTGTATATTTTTCCATGTGCTTGATGGCTATTCATGGTCTTCTTTGGGAAAATGTCAATTTAAGTCATTTGTCTTTTTTTAATGTAGGACAGGGAATTGAACCCAGGGTGGTTATTTGTCTTTTTTGGTTGGATTTAAGAGAACTTTACATATTCTGAATCCTAAATCCTTATTAGAATATTGATTTGAAAATACGTTCACCCATTCTGTAGGTCCTCTTTTTACTTTCTGGATCAAGTCTTTCAGTGCACAGGACTTTTGCCCTAGGGCGGTTTGGATGGACCTTGAACATAACATGAAAGGCATTGGTCCATGAAGAAAACACATTCTTCCTCCCTCCTTCTCTTCCCATGCTCTTCACACTCATGGAGAAAGACTTGGTTTAATTCAAGCATCCCCATAATCCCCACCTGATACTTGCTTATCTTCCTTTTTAGTAGAGAGAAAGTGGACTTTAGTCTAAGAGCCATCATAGGGTCAGTGCTTCCACAGAATCTCAGAGCCCATCTTTGCAGGGATGGTTGCTGAGGTCATCTCTAGCCAAGCTAGTGATGCTGGTCTTCCTTTATACACTGACAATAGTTTCATTTCAACAAAAATGTATTTGACTTTTTAAAGACAATGAGTGAACGATGAGGCAAAGCTTGTGGAGGTGATAGGAGAACACCAGAGTGTGCAGCTTGTTCCTGGCCCCCTTGGGTATGTCTGAGAAGGCAACAGCTGACATGCACAAGGGCCACCAGGGAGTGATAGGGTATGGGGCAAGTGGAAGATGCTGGGCAGGCAGCCAAGGGAGAGCAACTGGGCAGCCACTGTGGGCTCTCAGTGTGCCCCTGGAGTGGTATGGGCACTGTTTCTCATTGTGTCTCAGCTAACCAAGCCCCCTCTGCTGGGGAGGCAAAGGGGCCTTGAACGTCAAGGCTGAAGAGAAGGAAGAAAGGAAAAGAGTCTGTGAAGGTGGATTGAGAGAAGGACACGGCAGGTCTCAGTGAAACATGGACATGAGAGATGAGGAAGGTCTAAGTGGATGTGGAAGGAACCATGGCCAACAAAAAGCAAGATGAACCAGCAAGAAGCAAAAGGCATTTAAGGGTCCTCTTTGCAGTTGTTATAGTTCAGCATGTGTGCTAGTTTCTTGTAGCTGTAAGAAATTACCACAGACATGGTGGCTTGAACCAGCGGAAATCTATCCTCTCACAGTTCTAGAGGCTGTAGGTCTCCTGCAGGGCAGGGCTTCCATGGAAGGCTCTCGAGGAGGGTCCATCCTCCTCTCCTGATGGCTCCTGACAATCCTTGGTTTTCCTGGGCCGGTGGCAGTGTCACTGCAGACTCTGCCTCTGCCTGCCTCTCTTTGGCAAGACTGTGTGCCCCTTCCCCTTTTTATGCAGACACAGATTATTGCACTTAGAACCCACCCTATTCATCCTGACCTCACCTTAGCTTATGACAGTTCAAGGGTTTCTATAAGCTGGGCACAGTGGCTCACATCTGTAATCCCAGCCCTGAGAGAGGCTGAGGCAGGTGGATCAAATGCTCAAGTCCCACCTGGGCTGCTTAGCAAGTCCTTGTCTCAAAATAAAAAAATACAGATAAAAAGGGCTGGAGATGTAGATCCTCAGTCTCAGTCTCTCTCTCTCTCTCTCTCTCTCTCTCTCTCTCTCTCTCTCTCACACACACACACACACACACACACACACACACACACACACACACACACACACACAAAGATTCCCTATATCCAAATAAGGCCACATCCTGAAGTTACAGGTGGACATGAATCGCAAGACTCTGGTCCGTGCACGATCCTTGCAAGTTGGCTCTCCATCCTCTTCCATGACATTCTCAGAGGTATCACTTCACCCAGGAGGATTCTAAGAGCAACCTGGTGTATCCACCTCCACTCTGGAGCTGCAACCTTGATCGGAGTCTGCACTGCCAGGGTCCCTGGGGGATTTCACAGACAGAATAGGAAGTGGCTTTTCAGAAGCATGATTAAATCTGAGCACATAATTCTATACATAATCAACTTCTGGTGTCACATAGGTATGTGACTAACTTCGGCGTGAAAATCACTGTTTAATTTAAAGCTGTTTCCTCCTGTCTGGACTAAGTGGAATTCAAGAGGCAGAGGTTCACAGTGTTTCCAGCTTGCTAAATTGTTTTCATTTCTAACTGAATATAACAGATCTGGCAATATTTAAGCCCTCTTCGCACAGTTTCATCTTTATCAAAAACTTAACCCTGTAAAGCTGGAGGGCATCAGAGTGCGAGGCTCATGTCCTTTATTTTTGTGGCCTTCTTCACCAGGCCTGGGATGCAGCAGAGAGACTGACTGGCTAACTCTGGGGGAAGGTAGTTGTGAAGGAAGGAAGAAAGCCTGTGCTGTGACTCTCAGATGAGACCTTCCCAAGCCCCCAAGTTGTGTCAAGTTCCAGGAAAAACTGATTTCCACAAGAACGAGATCAGGACTCTGCCCCCGTGCTCTCTCTCCTCATCTGCAAGGAATTGCAAATGAATGGAGTTTGTGCCACGGAGACTTGAGTCTGACACAGCTCCGCCCAGCCTCCCCACTCTCCCAGGGTCCACCCCAATCTGACCTGAACATTGCCAAACACAATTGAACAAACAAACCAATGCTCACAGCCTGCTTCCTCTTTTCCTGTTACCTGACTTTCTAGCAGACCGTGACATTTACTTCCTTTGAGGTTTCTTGTCTTTCTTCCTTTTCTTAAGAGACCAAGGAATTCTATCTCAAAGAATGGAGTATTCTGTGACTCGTTGTTCATAAATATTTGAGGAGATGCAGCGGCATGTTTATAGAGACATTTGTTAGGGAAAAAACGAAGCTCAGGTTTGGTCTTTTTTTGTAAACCTTTTGGTGATTTCATTCACTCACTGAACAAATATTTATTAAGCACCTATTTTAAGGATATGAAGGCCTTTTCCAGGTAGACCAGGATAAAGGAAGCTCTGAGTGCAGATATTTACAATCCCAAACCCACAAAATGCTAACATCGGTTGGTACCAAAATAATCGAGGGATAAGTTTGGGGGCGTTGAAGGAGAAATCAAAGTAAATATTTTCAGTGAATTTGGAGAATTTACAAACTGTGTGTCCATTTGTCCTGAAATGAAATGTCTGTCTGTGTAGAAAAGTCCTATGCCCCCAACATATTCCTACTGCTAAAATCAAGCAGTGTTTCAGGGGAATGCCCGGTTCTGAAGAAATGTGATTTTCTGAGCTCTAGGTGTTTTCAGACTCCTGACTTCAAATTCAGGCTCTGTCTTGTTAGCTGCTGAGCGGCCTTGGGTAGGCTACTCAGTATCCTCAGTGATACAGCAGGCGTGGTGAAAGTCTTCTACTACTATGCAGGGGCGACAGAGAAGACAAAGGGCAGCACTCTGATCTGGCTGGCATGGGGACACTTTGTTCCCTGCAGAGCTACAAGAGGGAGACTTCCCAGGCTGGAAATGCTTAGGAACTGAGGCTCTGAGATCAACCACAGTGTCGCTCGCCCATGACATGGTCCTGTCATCACAGGCCATCAGAAGCACCCTTCCTCCTAGTGTCCAGGTGGTCCTGCGTCCAGGTGGGGCCTCCCTGTCCAGTCCCCTGCTAGGTCTGGGAGTTGTATATTTGGGAAGGAAAACTGAGGTCCTCTTTAGGTTTTCTATGCAGAGCACCAGCATATAGAAAGAAAAATAAAATGGGTTCTGGTGCCGTCTTATTTGCCTTTGAGCTGAACATATTTTAAAACATTTATTTACACTTCAGGAAGGTAAATATCAACAGCAGGGGAAACTCGATGTTGGGTTTCTTCCTGAGAAACCAGGAATCTTTCCCTGAGTTAAGAGCAAGTTGATTTCAGGAGGCCTCTGTGGGCCAGACGCTGCTTGAGTCTTTCTTCTTACCCAAAGGACTTTCCCCGTCAGCATACCAGGTTACTGCTCTCCTCATTTTACAAACACAAAGATGGGGACAGCTGGCCCAAGGTCATTCAGTTAATGCGCTGGAACTCAGGCCATCTTGCCTTGTGACACAGGGTCTTTCCCATATTCACTCTGCAGGGACAGCAGCTGTGATCAGAATGACTGTGGAAAAAAAAATTCAATAATTTCGAGCTCTAAATTTGGGATTCCTCGATATTTTAGTTGTCTAAATGTCATTATGGAAATGGGGGGATTTATTTAGCACTGTTCTGTTGGGTTTCATACAAAGACAGCAAAATTTCTCTCCCATTTTTGTGCGATAGCTTCCTCTCCTCCAGTAGCCTCTGGTCAGGTGGACATGTGATTGACCTCCTGAGCCCTGACACTTTCAAGAGAGAGGGAGAGGATATGGTTTACAGCTTCACTAAGCAACAGCCATGAACTGAGGCAGACCAGGGTAAACAGACAAGAGGGGTCACTGCGTTTATAGAGCGTGCCACAGTGACGGGTAGAGTCATGCATTCACTCATTCATTCATTCACTCACTCACTTATTCATTTTGCAAGTCCTTTCATACCTCCAGCCTACACTCCCTAGCAGTTTTGCAGTATTTCTTCACATCTGGCCTTCCTCATGCAAGGCTTCCACTGTTTTTGCCCTACAGATGAGTCCCCATTTCCTAAATGACACGCCTTACCTGAGGTCTCAGTGTTGGAGAATGGCAGAGCCAAGGAATTTGGAAGCCAGGCTTTTGCTGTGTGCCCAGCTCTGCCTGCGAGCACAGAGAAGATTTCGTTTGGGGAAATGGACATTTTCCTGACTGGAGCATAGGCACAATCCTTACATCAGGGAAAAGCCTTGCTGCCCTGAACCAAGGCCCTCTCCCTTCCTCCGTGCGCTCTGTGCCTCTTTCTCTCTCTCCTTCCTTACTCATTCTTTCTAACTTTGCAGCCCAGACAAAATGTCAAATGCAGCAGTTGTCATCAGTGGGTTTATTAAATAGCTGGTAGCTGACCTCTTACATGAAGGCAGCCAAAAGGCGGGTGTCCCGAGAGCCCCCCTGCTTTGTGCCTTGCCACTTCTGCCATTAGGGCCTCCTTGATGTGTACATGCTTTGAGTTATAGTCTCCAGAATAATTAATTTTAATGTGTAGGGAAGAATCAATGCTGTGGGAAGAAAGCCAGTTTCCTGAACATCGCATACTACTTGATGGATAATTTCCCTCATTTCTGGCAAAGGACTCCCACTCAGTTGTTAGGTTGCTTGACTGAGGGACAGAGATCAGAACCATGGATTAGGGAATGGAATCGCGGGGTGGAGGGGAGTGGGTGTGGGGTTGTCCATTCAGGAGAATCCAGGTGCATCCTATAATGTTCGTTCCTAATTAATTGCTTCAACGGAGTACGTGCACAGAGAGCAGAAAGGGGCTTGAGAATGATGTTTGTCAGGGGCATTGGCTCAGTGGTTATTCGGACGAGTGCAGGGGCCAGAACCACGTTTCTGGAGTGACCCTGGAAGGTGCTGGTTAGTGAGAGGGTTCCGATGAAGGAGACGCTGAATTAGGGTCTCTGTAGCAGCCTGGGGATGCTTCTGTCTCTTCCCTGATGGCGCCATCTGCTGGTGGCTTATGACACCAAACTCAGGTTTCAAAAGCGACGCAGGCGCCGGGACCCCCTGCCCCGTGCGCGCCCTCCTGCCTACGCTGCCACCACTCCTCCTGCATCTTTGATATTTCCAAATTCATGTGCTAAATTGATCCCAGCAAATGTGAAATAGTAGTATTGCAGTCATTTGAAATTCCTGTTTGGTTGCCCTGTCACTCTGCTTCCTCTTTAACATTCACCATGTTTGTTAACTAAATGTGTGTCTGCCCCATTGCATGGTGAGCAACCTGGACCCCAGCCCTAGGAAGTGCCTCCTTACTCTGGGTACCTCCATCGTGCCAGGACAGGGGTGGTAGCCAGACTGCACCGCATATGCTGCCACTGTCACGTCCCCGCCCATCCTAAAGGTGGCGCTGTGACCCAGATCACAAAGGAGGAAAATCTCAGAGCCAGGCAAACTATTGAGTGACAGGTAGAGAACCCAGTGTGAGTCCCGTTCACTTGTTTCCTATGTTGTTCCTTTAAGTGAGCTGGCTCTCTTGGGAGCCTCCTAGTGAGTCATCGGGTGATTTCAGGACAATAAAGTGCTCAGAAGCAGCTCTGACATGGTGGTCACACAGGAGTCCAACAGCTTTCTGACCAGCAGACCAAGCTGCTCCATCCATGTGTGAGATCAGACCCAGGATCTCCGTGAGTTCAAAGCAGTGTAATGTCCATTGGTATCTTCTACTCTTGCTTTGCCAAAACATCCTAGGTAAAGCTCTTCCCCAAGGCAGTAACAGTGAGGGTCCCCAACCTCTGGAAGGAAGCCCGATGTCAGCTTTCCTCTGACAGCCATGCAAGTGACCATCTGGGTCTCTCCTCAGATCCAAAGCCATTAAGGTGCACCTACCTCTTACAAGGTGTGGAAGAGGTATTTCCTGTTTATGGGAATGTTGGGAGAGCAAAGGTGGGGTGTGGTCCCTGTGGCTTCTCCAGCAGCCAGGGCATCTATGTCAATGCATGGAACAGAGGAAACTTTCTAGTAATTTGCCTCCAGCCACTCTCCATGCCCCCTTGAGCCCACTGAAGTCTTTTTCACGGAAGCATGGCCTCCCAGTTAGAGTAGAAATCCTTTGAGGGTGGCATGTTTGTCTGATCTTTTCAATTAAACCAGGCTTCTTCTGTATTCCATGTCTAGTGGACACCCAGTATTTGTTGAATAAATAAACAAATCTCTATTACCGCCTCCTGGTCATACAATCAGCATTTCTTTAAAAATTCATGAATGCCGTAACGTTTCCCAGTGTGAGAGCAAAACATTTTATGAAGTTGATATGAATTTTCTATTAAAGAGAAGAGTATCTATCTATTAATATTCCCAAAGGGTAGCTGTTTGGTTTGCTGCTGTGATGCTGTTATAATTTTCCATAATTATATGGTGTTGATTATAGTTTACCAACAGAGCATCAATAAAGAAACATGTAACCCTGGAAGTACATAATTTAAAGTGTATAACCTTCCCACATGGAAAACAAGTAGTGGGCTGAGAGCAGAGCAGCAAAGAGAATATCCTCCCCCGAAATTCTGAGTAGAAGAATCTGAGCTGCCCTGCAGATCTCAATCTGTGCAGTTTGTACAGTCAAAATAAGTGGCAGGTAGGATTTCTGTTTGGAATCCTGTTGGGATAACCCTTAAACAGGTGGAGAATGTGTGTATGTGTGCGTGTGTGTGTTACAATCAAATCCTGGCCTTGCATAAGCTAGGCAAGCGTTCTACCACTGAGCCACAACCTCAGCCTGAGAATCTTATGTTTGAGCACCGCTAGGGGCCAGAGGTATAAAGGACTTTCACAGAAGTCAGTAGTAAGGGACAGCATCATCTATAAACTGGGAAGCAATCCTTCCAACACTGAGTCTATTGCTACCTTGATCTTGGACTTAGTAGCCCCCAGAACTGTGAGAAATTTTTGTTGTTTACAAACAACAGAGACCATTTCTTATAGCAGCCTGAACTGACTGCTCATGTAAAGAAAGGTTTCTGAGGGCAGGGCTCTGTTGTTTGGTTCATCTTTGGGCATAGTAGGTGCCTTGAACAGTTGAGTGGTGGAATAGATGAAAGGTTTACTGAGATAAGACTGGATGTGACTCTGTCTCTGCTGTTTACTAGATGTGAGACATGAGCTGAAGGGTTTTTCCTCTCTGGATTGTGGCTATCTTGACTGTAGAAGAGGATCGTCATTCCCCTTTCCACATGGCCCAGGAGCAGATGAGGGGCAGTGAAACTGCTCAACACATAGTATCCATGCCACCCAATGGGTCCTGGAGTACCAATTTGCATTTTTATCCAGGGAGCATTCAGGCTAGGTTGAAGGGAAGTCACCTTCCCACTCACAGATTATCAGGAAACATGAGATGCATTGCCTTAGTCAACTAAGTAGGGACTAGGTAGGGCTCTGGCACTTGGTGTCCCTTCAGGCACCAGTAAAATTCTCCATGGCCACATGGTTGGGGGGTCCAGAGAAGGCCTAAAAGAAAACAGCTTCTCTGAATTACAAGGTAGGCAGAATTCTTTCTTAGTTGCAATTTGGGGTCAGTTTTCTTCTAGATAATGAGAGAAGCATTTATAAATAATTCATGTACCCTATTTGGCCCAATTAGCATTCCTCAGAACAGGGGGGCAATTCTTTGAAGCCAGTTTCTTCTTGAGGGACATCGACACACCCCTGTTGGGCTAGGCCAAGCATTTGCCCTAATTAGATATTTACACAAGAGACCCAGGCAAGGAAGGTGGATTTATTTTTAATAAAAGAAGATTAAAATCTATGTATCTGCAGTATATTAAGGGAGACTGAACCAAATTAAAATCCTCCCACAACTATGTATAGTGATGGCCTGAAAAGGAGGTATTTCACTTGGAATTACTAAACCTGTTGCTTTGAGTCAGAAAAAAAATAATCAGGCTTCTCCATCTGAATTCCATTTTCAGACTGGTTAATTGGAGTGCTGAGTGAGGGTCCTGGGGGTGGAACAGTTGGACCCTCCGCATTCAGAGGGCCACTTCAAACCCAGATCCTGTGACCAGGTGTCCACCCACCTGGACTGTGTGAGGGAAGAGATTGGTGGGGAGACGCTGCCAGGGATGGAGTGGAGTGGAGGCCACATTGGCTCTCCCAGAAATGAGGGCAACACCCACTCTTCTTAAGAACAACCCGATCTCTAGAAATTTCTGCTAGACATTTCTTACTGTAGTCAACTTGATGTATCACAGTTAACAACTGCAGCTACATAAGGACGTTTCAACAGAAAACGAACAGGCACAACTGCCTGGTTTTCCTGTGGCTGTAGATATTGGGGTTTCAGAATTTAGAGCACTAAATAAATCTGAAACACAATCCCTTTCTCAATTTATACTAAAAACATTCCAGCATATACATTGCCTTTTTTTTCTGGGTAGAACTGTAAACTCAAGGAGAATATTTATGTATGTCCATGCAGCTATTAAAGGGAATGGGATCCTGCCTTTCAAGATGTAGAGGGCATACAATCCTCTTGCACTGTGCTGGCCTCTGAAGAGAA